TGGGTGATTTCAATTTCCCCGTTATCGACGGGGACACCCTTACAGCAAGAGGCTTAGATGGAGCAGAATTTTTCAAGAACATCCAAGAGGGTTTCTTGAAACAGTATATGGATAGTACAACTAAAGGAGGGGCCACACTGGACCTTGTATTGGCTAATGAGCCTGGCCTGGTAACTGACCTTTCAATGAGAGAGTATTTTGGAAACAGTGATCACAACTCCTTAAGTTTTAGGGTAGCTATGAACAAGGATAAGGCAGGACCCAGTGGTAAGGTACTAAATTGGGGGAGGGGCAAATTATATCAGAATGAGGCAGGAGCGAGGGAGTGTTAATTGGGAGGAGCTACTATCAGATATCTGCACATAAACTGACGTTTTCCCAGCCGCCATCAGTTCTGAGGAAGGGTCACCGGACCCGAAATGTTAACTCTGTTTTCTACTTCACAGATGCTGCCAGACCTGCTGAGCTGTTCCAGCAACTTTGTTTTTGTTCTGCATTTGATAATGTGGGAACTGTTTAACGATCTGCTGATGAGAGTTCAAGACCAACATGTTCCAGTGAGGAGGAAGGACAGGGATGGCAAGATAAGGGACCCTTAAATAACGAGGGAGGTTAGTTGTGACTAGTAGAGTGATACATCAACAGTTAGTCACTGTTTACCTCTCGCAAGAATCTATTTATTTCTAATAAGTAGACATTGAGGATACGAACAACTTTTGTATTTTTTGTTAACCTGCGTCTCAAAAGAGAGGTAAATATGGCAATTTTATTAACTTTGATTAAATTTTGAACTGCTATGGAGGCTCGGGGATAGCAGAGCTTGATTTCCAATGCACTACCCCAGTGAGCTTTGACAAAGCTGGGGGGCTCATCCAGTATCGATTCTGAAACAAGGCAATGGGGACTTCAGGGTAGCATTGGGAGATGACACACATGAAGGAGAACACCAGCTGCTGGACTCCATTTAAAACGTAGCACTGGGGACATCAAAGAAAATCTTACAGGAGGCAGAACATAAGACCTTAAAACGTAGGAGCAGAAAGAAGTAGGCCATTCAGCCCATCAAGTCTGGTCCACCAGTCACTGAAATTATGGCTGGCTTGATAATCCTTAACACCACTTTTCTACCTTTTTTCCCCATAACCCTTGAATCCATGGCTGATTATTAATTTGTCTATCTCAGCCTTGAATATACTTAATGCCTTAGCCTCAATCGCCTTCTGTAGTAAAGAATTCCACAGATTCACTCCTTTCTGAGAGAAGAAATTCTATCTCATTTCTGTCTTCAATGTGCAATTCCTTATTCTGAGATGATGATCTCTGGTCCTAGATTCTCCCACAAGGGGAAACGTCCTTTCCACATTCATCCTGGCAAGTCTTCTCAGAATACTGTATTTTTGTGTAAGGTCACCCCTCAGTTTTCTAAACTCCAATGACCAGAGGCCCAAACCACTCAATCTCTCCTTATAAGACAGATCTAGCACCTCAAAACTGGGCATCCATGAGGGACTGTGGGCCATCAACAGCAGCAGAATTGTACTCCAGCACAATCTGTAACCTCATGGCCCAGCGTAACCCCACTCAACCATTACCATCAAGCCAGGGGATCACCCTAGTTCAATAGAGAGTGCAGGAGGGCATGCCAGGAGCAGCACCAGGCATACCTGAAGATGAGGTGTCAACCTGGTGAAGCCACCAAACAGGACTACTTGCACGCCAAACAGCGAAAGCAGCAAGAGATAGACAGAGCTAAGTGATCCCACAACCAACGGATCAGATCTAAGCTCTGCAGTCCTGCCACATCCAGTCGTGAATGGTGGGGTCAATTAAACAAATTACTGGAGGAGGAGGCTCCACAAATATCCCCATCCTCAATAATTGGGGAGAACAGTACATCAGTGCAAAAGATAAGGCTGAAGCGTTTGCAAATATCTTCAGCCAGAAGTGGATGATCCATCTTGGTCTTCTCCAGTGGTCCCCAGCATCACAGATACCAGTCTTCAGCCAATTCGATTCACTCTACACGATATCAAGAAATGGTTGGAGATACTGGATATGGCATATGGGCCCAGACAACATTCCAGCAATAGTACTGAAGACTCGTGCTCCATGACTTTGCGATCCCCTAGACACACTGTTCATAATGGCTAACCCACACATTATGGGCAATTTCTTTTCCTCTTACATGGCTAATACACCTAGCCTGCATATTTTTGGACTGTGGGTGCTCTGGTTTCCTCCTAGAAAAACCCCATGCAGACACGGGGAGACTGTACAAACTCAACACAGACAGTCACTTGAGCATGGAATCGAACCTGGGTCCCTGGTGCTGTGAGGTGACAATGCTAACCACTGAGCCACCATGCTGCCCTGCCTAAGGACTGTCCACCATCTACAAGGTACAAGTCAGGAGTGTGCAATTCAGTTCGTTTTTAATAATTAACATGCGTGTCTCAATGAAGTAGGTGGTACATTAAATTATATTTTGTTTAATTGTTTTTTGCAGTCTGGGTCACTGGACTCAAAATGTTAATTCTGTTTCTCTCTCCATGGATGCCGCCAGACCTACTTAGTTTCTCCAGCAATTTCTGTTTCTGTTTGTTTCAGATCTCCAACATCTGCAGTTCTTTTGTTTCATTTTAGGATTTATTTTGTTTTCTGTTATCAACCAATTTTCTATCCATTGCTGTACGCTATCCCCGATGCCATGAACTTTAATTTTATACATTGATGTCTTATGTGGGACTTTATCGAACGTATTCTGAAAGTCCAAATAAACATGTCTACTGGCTCTCCCTGATCAACTCTGCTAGTTACATCCCTGAAGAAATCCAATCGATTTGTCAAGCCTGATTTCCCCATTGTAAACCTGTGCTGACTGTGTAATCTCATCACTGTTTTCTGGATGCTCTATTAAATCTTTTATAATGAACTTTTATAATCGTTTATAGCCTCATGGCCCAACATATCCCCCACTCAACCATTACCATCAAGCCAGGGGATCAACCCTGGTCCAATGGAGAGTGCAGGAGGGCATGCCAGGAGCAGCACCAGGCTTCCCCATCACTGACATCAGGGTGACTAGCTTACAATAAATTTCTTTCTACCTCCCTTTTTGAATAGTGTTATATTAGCTGCCCTCCAATCTGTAGGAACTGTTCCAGAGTCTATAGAATCTTGGAAGATGACCACCAATGTATCAACTATTTCTAGAGCACTTCCTTAAGTACTCTCGGATATAGATTGTCAGGCTCTGGGGATGTTTCAGCCTTCAATCCCATCAATTCCCCAACACCATTTCCCTCATAATACGGCTTTTCCTTCAGGTGTTCCCTGTGTTTTCTGAATCCTTTGTTGTTCCCTTTCCTTTTGACTGGCCAGTAGCTAGCTAATTTCTAGCACTGAGTAAGACAGGTCTTTTACCTGCAACACAGGGGTGATTGAGGATAGTTCTTTGCCTGTGATCTTCACTTGCAAATACTCAAACCCAGGCTAGTGCACACAGGTACCTTATCCCACAAGCACACTCCAGGTGAGTTGAAAGCGATTTTTTAAAATTGCTGTCCTTTATCCTTCAATGGGAACTCACAAAATGTTAGCACAATTTGGGACACAATTTTCAGATTAGTGAAGATGGCACACCGTGCTACTACTAAGCTTCACTGCGGGAGGGAGTGGATACATGGGGATGTAGTGCCAATCAAGCAGGCTGCTTTGTGTTGGATGGTGTCGAGCTTCTTGTGTATTGTCAGGTCTGTACCCATCCAGGGCAAGTGGGGATCTATAAGATGCACTGCAGAAATTCACCAAGGTTCCTCAGACAACACCTTCCAAACCCACGACCACTTCCATCTAGAAAGACAAGGGCAGCAGATGCATGGGAACACCACCATCTCCAAGTTCCCCTCCAAGCCACTCACCATCCTGACTCGGAAATATATCGTCGTTCCTTCAGTGTCGCTGGGTCTTAATCTTGGAATTCCCTCCCTACAGCACATGGACTACAACAGTTCAAGAAGGCAGCATGGGGAAGCTCTGTACCCGTTTGAGCACCTGACAAAGACAGAATATTGTGGGATTCCTTTGTTCACAGCATTTCGACGGGAGGTGCTGAGTTGTGGTGACCCTATCACTGTGGACAGCCTGGTTTATGAAACTGCAGTGAGAGGGTGAGGCCAGGACCTGCAGTCTGTTAGGGTTAATCCCTCTTGCACGCTGCTCGAGTGGGAGATGCTGTACTCTCTGTGCTTGCCCTTGTTTTATCACAGTGTTACAGTCTTTAGCTTACACCTGTCCTGAGGATATCACACTGCACAATCCCTCCAGCTGACCCACAGCTGTTTGTTCAGAAGCTTCAGGAGTGTCAAAGAAAATACAAAAACAGAGTTCCTGGCCATTGTCATGCTGCTGTTGTGGGACCTTGCTGTGCACTTTCATCTATTCCATCATAACAACAACTACATTTCATACTGGACTTTGTTGTATCATGAGAAGGTGCTATAGAGATATAGGTCTTTCTTTCCACCGGGAGGCTGCTGGGTCAGCGAGGGGACTGATTCAGGGTCTATACAATCTGGGAAGGAGAATAAGCAATGGAGAGTGTTCAGGAGCAGGCTGATTGAATATTTTTGAAATGGGTCAGCTCCTTGGCGGGTCAGCTGGTTTGCAATGCAGAGTAACACCGATTGAAGAGGTCCAATTCCTGTCCTGGTGCAGGTTAGTGTAGCCCTGAGGAGCAGGGACCGTCAGGGTACACTCACTATCAGATCTCTCTCTCTCTCTCTCTCCAATCAGGGAGCAGTTGAGACTGCAGAAACTTTCATTCAAACCTTTATAGCTTTAAGATGTCCAAGCTCAGAAGAAGTGCTGAATCATGCAATCCAGTTGAAAGCTTTGAAAATTATTTTATTTTTATATAAACTTTTTTTTAGTAAAATACAGAAAGTGATTTGCTACAGGTGTAGCAATACAATGTAACTGTAAATCTCTGAGTGCGGTTTGATTTTCTCATCTAACTCAAATCATTCTACAATCAATTTATACACCAACAGACGACTGAAAAAGATTGCCATCTGTGTTCTTCATACATCTATATAAATAGGAATCCACTCAAGGTTTTATATGTTTTTGATCAAAACCTTTGATATTATTGATTTATTTATAAAGCTGGGATTGTACTGGTGAGAAATCCCTCTCACTGCTAATTTAGAGGAAGTTTATTGATTCATTGTAAACTCCTTACCGCCAGTTGTCACGAGGGCTGGATTTATTAGACCAGGTTCTGTGATTGCCCACCATACTTTGTCTGCACTGAGATTTCTCCAGTTTTAATTCAAACAGGTTTCTGCTAAGGTCCAGAAAAACTACTTTCTTAAAAAAGCAGAACTACCAAAGGTAGACAAGACTTGATTTTTATTCATGAAATTCTGTTACTATTTTCCAGGTCAATATTTACAAACGTTGCTCTGGAAATGAGGAAAGGCAGTATTTCCATTTGAATCTCAAGTGTCACAGATTATTGGATGGAGTCTGAATACCAATCAACCCTGAAAGTTAATGGATAACCAAACACTTTTCAAGTCTTACATAGATCAGGAAACAAATTCCAAGATGAAAACAGTCAGGGAAGGAATTGTAAAATCCAATTTTAACAAACAGTGAATATAGAATTTTGGGATGCAAGTGGATTGTTACTGACTTGTTGCTTACCAACTAGTTGGAATCACATGACCTAGACATATTATGGGCTATGCATGGCCTTTCATGTACAATGAGTTAAGTATTTTGTTTTAAGGGAGACAGCAGCCCAGACAAGCTTCTCCAGGCAGTACTTGGCTTTAATAAAAGGCATCTCAAATAGTCTATGGACCTCCTGTTCCAAATCACTGGAGAACCAATTTCTCTGCTTAAACTAAAGAGTTGGACAAGCAAAGCAGAGAGATTGAGTATTTGGAGGGAGCACAGTTAGAAGCCAGGGGAATGTGTTCCCAAACACAGATAGTGTAAAAATCAATGAAGTTCACTGGTAAGTTTGACCTTTATCAAATGCGGATTCATAAATTCTGGAAGTGCTTTTGACTCCATTTTACATCGTGGACATTTCAGAATCCAATGAAAACGTATAAATATAGCACCATAACACAGTGTCCTGCCCCTTCTGCAGAGTTAGTCTCCACAATCGGGCAAGTCATTGTAAAAGGAGACATCAGCAACATCCTGAACGAAGCTGACTGTTACAGGAGCAAACCGTTCACTACCAGTGTAGGTGGCCCTTGGAAAGGAATTATCCAATTGGCTCAGAGTTCCAATGATATTCATTTGGCCTCAGCCCAGCTCTCAGTTACATCTTAAAAGAGCAGCATCTGTTCACACAAGGACATTGCAGGAAAGAATACAGCTCATTCACAAGAGGCTAACATTTTATTTGGTTTCTTTTTAATTATTACAGTTTGCTTCTGATTTTCCAAAAAGAAAGTTAAATATGGCTCTTTAAAAAATGGCAGCCAGAGAGACACATGCAAGTTCTGAGAGTGGAAACAGATATAAATGGTATTTTACAATAAAATAATTACAGTTCATTAAAATACACCTTCGGAGCACCTTGGCAATGTGTGTGAGCACCTTGAGTAGTCAGTTACACCATTCTGCCACTCACTGTTGGGTGATGTCCTACCTCGAGGTTGGGGAAAAGCTCTTCCTTTGGCAGCTCCACACCATCGTAAGTTCCTCTGGGATCCCCATAATAGGTTTAAGTCATGTGATTCTGACCCCACAAGGGCATTTAATAATTTCTAGATAATAGTACATACATACACAGCGAGAGAGTGTTTACTCCATCCAGGATCAAAACTTGCACGTGTCTTGTAGTGGGTGCGATGAAGGTATTGGTTTGTCTCAGTCTCTTAGCCCAGGAAACAAACAGGACCCACCTCAAATCCAAACTTCTGGTTCATGTTGCCAAAGTCACTCACCAACAAGTCAATGATAGGAACTTGATCCACTTTTGGAGTGTTAATCTCGAGTACAGTCTTTTCTAAACCTTTCCGGAACTGAGAAAAGAACAACACAGATATTTACAGCACAGGGTAAAAGCTGAGCTGAACAATGACTAAAACCTTACACAGTCTTACAAGACCAATCAGATAACACTCACCATGCAACCATCTGTGATAGCTTTGATGTATGGATTATTATCATGTGACATCTCCTCATCGTTGGAGCCCAGGAATCGAAGTGCCTTGTCATAGCTGTCTGAGGCTGCATCATACCAGGCCACTGAGTTCTGACAGTTATAGGTGAGGTTCTGCCTTGCAGAGGCACTCAACAGCTTCAGGAATGTCATCTGCACCAAGTTGATCGGCTCACCCTGGGAATCCACATATGCAAGCTGTGAAAGGACCACAGAGACAAGAGTTTAAATTACACTTGGGAATGAGTGGAGTAAGGAAATCAACATTAAAACAAAACACACAACTCTCATTCGCTCTGCTCTGTTACAGTGAACTGTCTAATTTCAAGCTACAGCTTCAATCGGCCAATAAACAATGAGAACAACACAAGTGATTTCTGACAAGTAAAACTGACCAGTTTGCCTCTCTTGAACTCACTGAACCAGGAGCCAGGGGTTTCCTTGGGCCATGGGGAGATTCGAACCTGCAATGTAAAGAACAGAGATCAGATTACATGAACAAGCCTCATTGATTCAGGTCGGGAAATTAAACAGTGATGTTAGGAGAAAGATTCCATTCTGTGATACTTACAGAGAAATATAGAAAATAGGAACAGGAGTAGGCCATTCAGCCGTTTGAGCCTGCTTCACCATTCAATATAATCATGGCTGATCATCCAACTCAGTTCCCTGTACCTGCTTTCTCCCCATTTACTTTGATCCCTTTGGGCCCAAGTGCTATATCCAGCTCCTTCTTGAAATCATACAAATTTTTGGCCTCATCTGCTCTCCATGGGAGTGAATTCTACAGGCTCACCACTCCCTGGGGGAAGAAATTTCTCTTCGTCTCAGTCCTAAATGGTTTACCTTGTATCCTTAGGTTGTGACCCCTGGCTCTGGCTCCCCAGTCATTGGCAACATCTCTCCTTTGTTAATCCTGTCTAGTCCTGTGAGAATTTTATAGGTTTCTACGAGATCTCCAATCATCCTTCTAGACTGCAGTGAATATCATCTTAACTGATTCAACCTCACCTCATAAGTCAGGCCTACCATCCCAGGAATCAATTTGGTAAACCTTCACTGTACTCCCTCAATAGCAAGAGCATCTTTGCTCAGATAAGGAGATCAAAATTGCACACAGAATTCCAGGAGCGGCCTTCCCAAAGCCCTGTATAATTGCAGCAAGACATCTTTACTCCTGTACTCGAACCCTCTCACTATGAAAGCCAACTACCATTTAAGACCATAAGGAATAGGAACAGCAGGAGGCCATTTGGCCTCTCAAGCCTGTTTAGACATTCAATAGGACCATGGCTGATCCGAGATTCCTCATTCCTTCTCCGTTCCCTGTAACACTTGATTCCTGACAGATCAAGAATCTGTACCTCAGCCTTAAGTATACACAAAGACTCTGTCCCCACAGCTCTCTGTGGCAAGGAGTTCCAAAGACTGACAACCCTCTGGGAGAAGAGATTCCTCCCCATCTCAGTCTAAATTGAAGCCTGTTTATTCTGAGACTACGTCCCCTGATCTTAGACTCTCCCATGAGGAGAAACAGCTACTCAACATTTATCCTGTCAAGCCCTTTAAGTATCCTATAGGATAAAATGGAAAATCCCTGTGGAAAATTGATGCACAGAGAGATCTGGATGTTCAGGTCCATTGTACCCTGAAGGTGGCAACGCAGGTCAATAGAGTGGTCAAGAAGGCATATGGCATGCTTTCATTCATCGGACGGGGTATTGAGTACAAGAGTTGGCAGGTCATGTTACAGTTGTATGGGACTTTGGTTCGACCACATTTGGAATACTGCGTACAGTTCTGGTCACCACATTACCAAAAGTGGATGCTTTGGAGAGGGTGCAGAGGAGGTTCACCAGGATGTTGCCTGGTATGGACGGCGCTAGCTATGAAGAGAGGTTGAGTAGATTAGGATTATTTACATTAGAAAGACGGAGGTTGAGGGGGAACCTGAGTGAGGTCTACAAAATCATGAGAGGTATAGACAGGGTGGATAGCAAGAAGCTTTTTCCCAGAGTGGGGGACTCAATTACTAGGGGTCACAATTTCAAGGTGAGAGGGGAAAAGTTTAAGGGAGATATGCGTGGAAAATTCTTTACGCAGAGGGTGGTGGGTGCCTGGAACGCGTTGCCAGTGGAGGTGGTAGAGGCGGGCACGATAGCGTCATTTAAGATGTATCTAGACAGATACATGAATGGGCAGGGAGCAGAGGGATACAGATCCTTGGAAAATAGGCGACAGATTTAGATAGAGGATCTGGATCGGTGCAGGCTTGGAGGGCCGAAGGGCCTGTTCCTGTGCTGTAATTTTCTTTGTTCTTTGTTCTATGGGTTTCACCTCTTATTAAACTCCAGTGAGTCGAGACCCAACCTGTTTAGCCTTTGCTCATAAGACTATCCCTCCAGATCAAGGATCATCCCAGTGAACCTTCTCTGAACTGCCTCCAATAAAATAATATCGTTCCTTACGTATGGGGACCAAAACTGTTCACAGTGCTCCAGATGTGGTCTCACCAGCACCTTATACAGCTGCAGTAAGACTTCCTTACTCTTGTACTCCAACCCCCTTGAAATAAGGTCCAACATTCCATTAGTCTTCCTGATTCCCTGCTGCACCTGGGTGCTAGCTTTCTGTGTTTGTGCATATGTTACCCCAAGTCTCTTTCATTGCAACTCTCCACAGTTTTTCTCCATTTAAATAATATTCACTTTATTTGTTCTCCCTTCCAAAGCTGAACAATTTCACATTTTCCCACATTTTACCTTTTGCCTTCTTTACCGCCTGCTGCACCTGCACACTTGCTTTCAGCGGCTGGTGAGTGAGGACATCCAGGTGTCGGCAAACGTTCCTTTTTCTCAATTTACCGCCATTCAAATAATAATCCACTCTCCTGTTTGTACTCCCAAATGGATACCCTCACATTGATCTACATTATACTGCATCTACCATGCATTTGCCCACTCACTCAGCCTGTCTGAATTGCACTGCAACATCTCTGCATCCTCCCACCCAGATTTATGTCATCTGCAGGTTTGGAGACATTACATTTAATTCCCTCATCCAAGCTGAGGTCCAAGTACTGATCCCTGCAGTCCCCCACCAGTCACTCTGTCAGTCAGATAAAGACCCATCTATTCCTTCTCTTTGCTTCCTGTCCACCAATCAGTTCTCTATCCCAGGCCAGTACACAACCACAATCCCATGCATTTTAATTTTACACACTAATTTCTTGTGGGGACTTTGTTAAAAGCCTTCTGAAAGTCCAAATAAACCACATCCACTGGCTCCCCTGATCAACTTTATGAGTTACATCCTTGAAGAATTCCAGTTGATTTTTCATTCCTGATTTCCCTCCCCTCAATCCATGCTGACCCTGACCAATCCTGTCATTTTCCAAATGTTAATTCTCTTTTTTTAATAGACTTTAGTATTTTCCCAATACTGATATCAGAGTGAATGGTCTATAATTCCCGGTTTTCTCTCTGCCTCCCTTTTTAAATTTGGAGGCTACACTTCCCATCTGCCACTTTATAGGAAATGTTTCAGAGAATCTTGGAAAATGACCATCAATGCATCCATTAATTTTCAGACCACTTCCTTAAGTATCTGGGATGTAGATTATCAGATTTATTCTTTAATCTAATGTTCTGATTCAGTAATTTCACTGAATCACAGAATTTTTATGGTGCAGGAGGCGGCCATTTGGCCTATTGTGCCCTTATGTGGTCTGGCCCGATCATCTCGTGCTAATCTCCTGCCTTTTCCCCATATTCTTGCTCACCATTGGTATCCACAAAAACCATCCAATGCCCTCCTGAACGCCTCTGTTGAACCTATCTCCACCACATTTCCAGGCAGCGTTCCGGACCCTACTCACTGAGTCAAAAAGTCTTTTCCCATAATCACCCTTGCTTCATTTGCTTTAAATGTATTCCCTCTGGATCTTGTTTTTTTTTTTAACAAGTGGGAACAGCTTTTCCTTGTCTACTTTATCCAGCTTGCTAATGATTATGAAAGCCTCTATCTAATCTCCTCTCAGCCTTCTTCTCTCCAAGGAAAAGAATCTCAACTTCTTCATTTTATCTTCATAACTGAAGATTCCCATTCCTGGAACTATTCTTGTTCTCTGCATTTCTCTGTAATGTTTTTGCATCTTTCCTATAATGTAGTACCCAGAGCTGCACACAATACTCCAGCTGAGTAACATGTACCTTATACATATTCAACATCACCTGCCTGCTCTTGTACTCTATGCCTCTACTATTAAAGGTGAGAACATTGTTTGCAATTCTCTAATTTTCTGGCACCTCCCTGTGCTCAGAGAAGACTGAAAGATTTTGGCCAGTGCCTCTGCAAATTCTCCCCTCACTTCCCTCAAAATCTTTCGATGCATCTCAGACAGTTAGGGGCGGCACGGTGGCTCAGTGGTTAGTACTGCTGCTTCACAGCACCAGGGACCCGGGTTAAATTCCACCCTTGGGTGACTGTCTGTGTGGAGTTTGCACATTCTCCCCATGTCTGCGTGGATTTGCTCCGGTTTCCTTCCAAAATCCAAAGATGTGCAGGCTAGGGTGGATTGGCCATGCTAAATTGCCCATAGTGTCCAGGGATGTGTAGATTAGGTGGATTAGTGATGGGAAATGCAGGTTTATGGGGACACAGTAGGGACGGTGAGATAACCTTTGAAGGATCGGAATGGACTTGTTGCGCCGAATGGCCTGTTTTCACACTATAGGGATTCTATCAGTTCTGGTGACTTGTCAAGGTTGAGTGCCAACAATCTATCCAAGACTTTTTTCTCATTAATTTTAATCTCTTCTTGCGATAGAGTTTCTTACAGACAGATGCGGAGTATTCATTTAACACCTCAGCCATGACCTGTGCCCTTGCTTGGTCTCTGATCAGCCCAACTCCTCCTTTAACCACCCTCTTACTGTTTGTATGCATATTGAAGATTTTGGAATTTCCCTTCATGTTAGAACATAGAACATAGAACATAGAACAGTACAGCACAGTACAGGCCCTTCAGCCCATGACGTTGTGCCGAACTTTTACCCTAAACCTAAGGTCTATCTAACCTCCACCCCTACCTTATACTATCATCCATATGCCTATCTAATAGCCGCTTAAATGCCCCTAATGAGGCCGACTCCACTACCCTCTCCAGCAATGCATTCCACGTCCCGACCACTCTCTGAGTAAAGAACCTACCTCTGACGTCTCTCCTACATCTACCTCCACTCACTTTAAAACTATGCCCCCTCGTAATAGCTACCTCCACCCTAGGAAAAATTCTCTGGCTGTCCACTCTATCTATACCTCTGATCATTTTGTACACTTCTATCAAGTCACCTCTCATCCTTCATCGTTCTAAAGAGAAAAGCCCTAGCTCTCTCAACCTATCCTCATAAGACCTTCCCTCCATTCCAGGCAACGTCCTGGTAAATCTCCTCTGCACCTTTTCCAACGCTTCCACATCTTTCCTGTAATGAGGCGACCTGAACTGGACACAATACTCCAGATGTGGCCGAACCAGGCTTTTGTATAGCTGGAGCATAACTTCACGGCTCTTGAACTCAATCCCTTTATTAGCTGCCAGTCTTTTCTCATAATTCTGTCTGTTTCTCCCATCGGTTTTTTCACATGCCTCTCGGATATTCCCATTGATTCAAATTTGTATTTAATGCTGTAATCCCATCATAGAGGTTGATTTGTGGCTGGTCATTGTCAGCTGTGGATTTTTTTAAAAAGTTCATTAACGGGATGAGGACATCGCTGACCAGGCAGCATTTATTGCCCATCCCTAATTGCCCAGAGAGCAGCTGAGAGTCAACCACATTCCTATGGGTCTGGAGTCACATGTAGGCCAGACCAGGTAAAGTTGGCAGATTTCCTTCCCTGAAGGACATTAGTGAATGAGATGGGTTTTTACAACAATCAGCAATGAATTCATGGTCATCATCAGAATCTTAAATTCCAGATTCTTTATTGAATTCAAATTCCACCATTTACCATGGCAGGATTTGAACCTGGGTCTCCAGAACATGAGCTGAGTTTCTGGATTTCTAGTCTGGCTATAATACCATTCGGCCATTGGCTCCCCTTGAGTTCAGTGAGATATATAGAGTCCTGGGGGTTGATGTAGGTTGGATTTTAAAAGATGGCTACACATATTGAAATTGCAGGGAGCACAGTAATGGGATGTTCGAGCTTCATAAAAGGAGGCATTGAGCAGGGATCTGATTGTTAGGGCACAGTGAAAGGATTATGTCCTGCTCGTAGTCACTATCCCAATGTGCTGGAACCACTCTCTGGTTCCATGAAGCTCTTTGAAAGAGCTAATATGGATGGAATAGGCTGAACAGCCTGCTCCTTGACTGGTGGTTTGCGTGAAATAATAAAATACTCACTCCGTCAGATTTTCTGTCAGGATAGATACAGGTCTCGCCTCCACTGGTGAAGTTACAGTACACCTTGAAGGAATCTCCATGGCAACCTTGATTTGGATCAATCCAATATTCACCTGTTGGGGTGCAGTGACAAAAAGACACATCCTTATATTGCAAGACTGATTCTACTCACTCCAGACAGCCTCTTCAGTGACAAATCCAGAAACATACAGCAAGTCCAATACACACAACATCCAATTTCAAGCATTGAAACAGGCCATTCAGCCCATCTGCCCCAAGCTTGGGTTTCTGTTGCCCCCCTCCCCACCAAGACTCCTCCCAGCCCCTTGTCATTTCACCCTGTCAGCAGATCCTTCGATTCCATACCCCTCGTATCCACAATATTCCCTTCCCCACTCCCGGTGGGGATGAGTCCCACATTCTCGGGCCTCCCCACCTCCTCCCCATGGGAGTGAGTCCCACATTTTCCTCCAACTTGGCAGTGAGAGCCACAATTTCTCTCCACCCTCTGGGTGAAGAAGATTTTCCTGAATTCCTGATTTTAAGATGGTCCCTAACAAATCCAATCACAGCTTCTCAATTTAAACTTCCCCACATTCCACGCCATCCACCCTTTCAATCCCCTTTTTAATTTAAAAGGCCACTCAATCCTCTTTACACAATTCTAAACAAAACTAACCCATCTTTTTCCTGATTGTAACCTTTTAGCTCGGTGACACAGAAACATTGGAGATAAGAGCAGGAGGAGGTCACTTGGCCCTTCGAGACTGCTCTGCCATTCCTTCCACCGCTACCCACTGTCTCCTATGACTAAGCCAGTTCTTTATCCATCTTACCAGCTCACCCCTGATACCATGTGACTTCACTTTTTGGAACTTACAGGGCGTGGTGTTCCCATGCATCTGCTGACCTTGTCCTTCGAGATGGAAGTGGTCATGGGTTTGGAAGGTGCTGTCTGAGGATCTTTGGTGAATTTCTGCAGTGCATCTTGTAGATAGTACACACTGCCGCTACTGAACATCAGTAGTGGAAGGAGTGGGTGTTTGTGGAAGTTGTACTAATCCAACAGGCTGTTTTGTCCTGGATGGTGTCAAGCTTCTTGAGTGTTGTTGGAGCTGCACCCATCCAGGCAAGTGGGGAGTATTCCATCGCACTCCTGACTTGTGCCTTGTCGAGGGTGGATAGGCTTTACTCATCAATTTATCATATTTGAGCTGTTTAGAAGTCAGTGCGAAGAAAGTTGCAAAAATAGTAGACTGTGGGGGTGTCAGTGAGGAAGATATCTGATAAGGCTGTCAAAGACATGAGTTTAGAGAACCCATATTCAGTAACGGTTAGCAGTTTATTTTAAGGGTTCTGGGGAGATAGTAACCGGAAAAGAATCCGTCCTAGTAAATGAACAACTTGCTGAAAGGAAAGCAATTATAGCCATGCTGGCTGAGCAAACACTTTAGAAATAAATATAGGGGTCCATGTACACTGAGGTATGAGTATCTGTAAGGGTTATTGCTGGGGTGAAGAGGATGAGTTTCTTTCTGATGTTTATAATGAGTTTATTCCAAATATTATTGTTTAGTGTGAAATAGATCAGGTCTTTTTCCTCTTTTTTTTTGTCCGGAGTGTGGGTATTGCTGTTCATCCTCATTGCCGTAGAACAGGGTGACTTGCTAGGCCATTTCAGAGAGGGTTTAAGAGTAAACCACAGTGCTGTGGGTTGGGAGTCACATGTCAGCTAGACCAGGGAAAAATTTCCTTCCCCAAAAGGGCTTTAGAAAACTGAATGAGTTTTTAATGACAGCTGTTACATGTTCCACATTAGATTAGCTTCTAATATCCTGTTTCTCTTGTATTCAAATGTTGGTAGCTGTCTTGACTATGCCCCAAGAACATTAGACTGGCTCTGGATAACCAGTCATATTATCACTATGCCACTCCAACCTGTTTTTGTAAAGTCACATTTTGTAAAATTACATTGGCAGCCTCTTGGGAATATATTCAGAGACTGACCTCCATAGGAACCAAAAATTGTCAAAGTAAAGGTAATGGCCCATCAAGGTGGGTTTCCCATTGGGACTGGACTTGTTCAGTGTGACCACAGGCTCAGAACAACCCTAACACTTATTGGTGGAGGTGAGGCTGGAGGGGAGAAGGCTCATGGTGGAGAAGAGTAGAGCTTGTCGGGTGGAGTAAACGGCTCCCTAATCCAAAGATCCAGATAATGTTCTGGGAACCCAGGTTCAAATTGCACTACGGCAGAATTTGAATTCAATAACAGGTCTGCTCTTAAGAGTCTAATGATGACTGTGTACCTGTTGTTGGGGAAAAACCCATCTGGGTCACTAATGGTTGACATGTGACCCCAAACCTACAGCACTGGGGTTTACTCTTAACCCTGCTCTGAAATGGTCCTGTTCTAGGGCAATGAGGATGAACAGCAATATCCATACCCTAGAGGAAAAAGCCATGAACTATATAACACCACACAGGAATATTTGGAATAACCAATTATTTAGTAGAACCTTACATGTCCTCTGAGCAATTAGGGATGGGTACCATGCTAAATTGATAAACATATGGATGGTGATGGAATAGTTTAGGTTAGATGGGCTTCAGATTGGTTTCACAGGTCGGCGCAACATCAAGGGCCGAAGGGCCTGTACTGCGCTGTAATGTTCTATGTAATCAAGGCTTTAAGACTGAGAGGACAGAGTTGAGTTAGGAAAATGGAACCAAATGGATTGAAAGAGTTAAGCATCAGTCATACAGCACAGAATATGCCCTTCAACCCATCAAGTCTGTGCTGACTCTTCTCTTTAGGCCTTTATATTAAGAGGTAGATGAGTCACCATCTAATGGACTGAAGGGTGGGAGTTGCTGAATGGCCTCCTCCTGTCCCTGTGACTGTTGGACTAAACTCAGGATGGGGTGGTGGGGTGTTGGAGGGTCTTCTCATCTCCATGAATGGTTGCACAGGCTCAAAGGGCTGAATAGCATGTGTGTGTGTGTCTTGAATGGTCCTGCACAATGAAAGGGCTGAATGGCCTGTACCTACCGTCTGGGAAGTCTGGATGAGACAGCTGCAAGTCCTTGCAGGTGCGGCCGGGATTGTTGTGTGTTCCCATTGGGTTCTTCATTCGATCAACTTCCATTTTCAAGGTGTCGAGGGAGCCAAAGATGTCCTCCATTCCATTGGTGTAATCCAGGATGTGGTCTGCTTCATCAGCCTGGATCCCATCAGAAGATCTCCGTGTTTTCTTCGGAGTTCGGATTGGCAATGGCTGAATGACCTCACCAGGGGGGCCCTCGAATTAACAAACGGAGTAATGAGACAACCTCACAAACTCTCCTCCGAATGAAACAATCCCAATGCCAGGATCGATGTGCAGCCGGAAAGGGCAGTGGATTCAATAATAACTTCAAAAGGGAATTGGGGAAACGCAGGAGGGGCAGGTTATAGGGAAAGAGTAAAGGGGAGTGAGATTAAGGGGAGTGAGATTAATTGAACAGACCTTTCGAGGAGCTGGCACAGAGAATGGCCTCTTTCTGTGCAAGATGTTGGAGTGAGAGTGAGAATCACACAGGGCAACTGCCTTGCCTGGTGTTCCTTTTGCCAGTCCATTCAATGAAGAGGTGAACCAGCTCTTGACTCTGACCCTGCATTGGATCTTCTCATTCAATGTTTTGGACAAACAGGTTAACACGACCTTGTAGAGACTATCCCTCCCAATTATGGTCATTGTGGTCATGTCAAAACTGACAGCTTGCAGCATCTCTTGAACCAAAGGGGAGGCATTAGCCCAGTGGTATTATCACTAGATTATTAATCCAGAAACTCTGCTAATGTTCTGGGGTCTTGGGTTCGAACCTCACCATGACAGATGGTGGAATTTGAATTCTTTTAAAAAACCTGGAATTAACAGACTACTGGTAACTGTAAAACCATTGTCAATTGTCAGAAAAGCCCATCTGGTTCACTAATTTCCTTCAGGGAAGACCTACATGTGACTCCAGACCCACAGCAATGTGGTTGACTCTCAACTGCCCTCTGAAATGGAATAGGAAGCCCCTCAGATGGACCAATCACTACAAATTCTCAATGAAATGAAACTGGATAGATCACCTGGCATCGACCTCGGTACTGGAAAAGACAACGACAGAAACAGCCCTGTCAACCCTGCAAAGTCCTCCTCACTAACATCTGGGGGTTAGTGCCAACATTGGGAGAGCAACAGCCTGACATAGTCATACTCACAGAATCATACCTTACAGACAACGTCCCAGACACCACCATCACCATCCCTGGGTATGTCCTGTACCACCAGCAGGACAGACACAGCCGAGGGGGCGACATAGTGGGATACAGTCGGGAGGGTGTTGCTCTGGGAGTCCTCAACATTGACTCTGGACCCCCATGAAGTCTCATGGCTTCAGGTTAAACATGGGCAAGGAAACCTCCTGCTGATTACCACATACTGTCCTCCCTCAGCTGATGAACCAGTATTCCTACATGCTGAACAACATTTAGAGAAAACACTGAGGATGGGAAGGGCACAAAATGTACTCTGGGTGGGGATTTCAATGCCCACCACCAACAGTGGCTCAGCAGCAGTACTACTGATCGAGCTGGTCGGGTCCTAAAGGACATAGCTGCTAGACTGAGTCTGCGGCAGGTGGTGAGGGGACCAACAAGAGGGAAAAACATACTTGACCTCATCCTTACCAATCTGCCAGCTGCAGTTACATCTGTCCAGGACAGTATCGGTAAGAGTGACCATCGCATAGTCCTTGTGGAGACAAAGTCCTGCCTTCACATTGAGAACAACCTCCATTGCGTTGTGTGGCACTATCACCGTGCTAAATGGGACAGACTTCGCACAGATCTAGCAACTCAAGGATGGGCATCCATGAGGTGCCATGAGCCATCAACAGCAGCAGAATTATACCCCAGCACAATCTGTAACCTCATGGCCCGGCATATCCCCCACTCAACCATTACCATCAAGCCAGGGAATCAACCCTGGTTCAATAGAGAGTGCAGGAGGGTATGCCAGGAGCGGCACCAGGCATACCTGAAGATGAGGTACCAACCTGGTGAAGCCACCAAACAGGACGACTTGCACGCCAAACAGTGAAAGCAGCAAGTGATAGACAGAGCTAAGCGATCCCACAACCAACGGATCAGATCTAAGCTCTGCAGTCCTGCCACATCCAGTCGTGAATGGTGGTGGACAATTAAACAACTCACTGGAGGAGGACGTTCCACAAATATCCCCATCCTCAACGATGGAAGAGCCCAGTACATCAGTGCAAAAGATAAGGCTGAAGCATTCACAGCAATCTTCAGCCAGAAGTGCCGAGTGGATGATCCACCTTGGCCTCCTCCAGTGGTCCCCAGCATCACAGATACCAGTCTTCGGCCAATTCGATTTACTCCACATGATATCAAGAAACAGTGGAGGCACTGGATACTGTAAAGGCTACAGGTCCTGACAACTTTCTGACAATTGGGGAGGTGATGGCCAAGTGGTATTATCACTGGACTATTAATCCAGATACCCAAATAATGTTCTGGGGACCTGGGCTTGAATCCTGCCACAGCAGATGGTGGAATTGGAATTCAATAAAAATCTGGAATTAAGAGTCTAATGATGACCATGAATCCATTGATTGTCGGAAAAACCCATCTGGTTCACTAATGTCCCTTAGGAAAGGAAACTGCCATCCTTACCTGGTCTGGCCTACGTGTGACTCCAGACCCACAGCAGTGTGGTTGACTCTGAACTGCCCTCTGGGCAATTAGGGATGGACAATAAATGCTGCCTAGCCAGCAATGCCCACATCCCATGAATGAATAAAGAAAATAAAATAGTACTGAAGACTTGTGCTCCAGAACTTGCCGTTCCCCTAGCCTAGCTGTTCCAGTACAGTTACAACACAGGTATCTACCCGACAATGTGGAAAATTGCCCAAGTATGTCCTGTACACAAAAAGCAGGACAAATCCAACCCGGCCAATTACCGCCCCATCAGTCTCCTCTCGATCATCAGGAAAGTGATGGAAGGTGTCACTAACAGCACTATCACACAGCACCTGCTCAGCAACGCCCAGTTTGGGTTCCGTCAGGGCCACTCAGCTCCTGATCTCATTACAGCCTTGGTTCAAACATGGACAAAAAAGCTGAATTCCAGAGGTGAGGTGAGAGTGACAGCCCTTGATATCAAGGCTGCGTTCAACTGAGTGTGGCATCAAGGAGCCCTGGCAAAACTGGAATCAATGGGTAACAGGGGGCAAACGCTCCGGTGGTTGGAATCATACTTGACACATAGGAAGATGGTCGTGGTTGTTGGCGGTCAATCATCTCAGCTCCAGGATATCTCTCCAGGAGTTCCTTAGGGTAGTGTCCTCGGCCCAACCATCTTCAGCTGCTTCATCAATGACCTTCCCTCCATCGTAAGATCAGAAGTGGGGATGTTCACTGATGATTGCACAATGTTCAGCACCATTCGTGACTCCTCAGATACTGAAGCAGTCCATGTTCACATCCAACAAGATCTGGACAATATCCAGGTTTGGGCTGACAAGTGGCAAGTAACATTCACGCCACACAAATGCCAGGCTATGACCATCACCAGTAAGAGACAATCTAACCACCGCCCGTTTACATTCAATGGTGTTACCGTCACTGAATCCCCCACTATCAACATCCTGGGGGTTATCATTGACCTGAAACTCAACTGGACTAACCACATAAACACAGTGGCTACAAGAGCAGGTCAGAAGCTGGGAATACTGTGGTGAGTAACTCACCTCCTGACTCCCCAAAGCCTGTCTGCCATCTACAAGGCACAAGTCAGGAGTGTGATGGGATATTCCCCACTTACCTGGATGGGTGCAGCCCCAACAATACTCAAGAAGCTTGACACCATCCAAGACAAAGCAGCTCGCTTGATTGGCACCACATCCACAAGCATCCACTCCCTCCACCACCGACGCTCAATAGCAGCAGTGTGTACAATCTACAAGATGCACTGCAGAAATTCACCAAAGATCCTCACATAGCACCTTCCAAACCCACGGCCACTTCCATCTAGAAGGACAAGGGCATCAGACACATGAGAACACCACACCCTGCAATTTCCCCTCCAAGTCACTCACCATCCTGACTTGGCAATATATCACTGTTCCTTCAGTGTTGATGGATCAAATTCCTGGAATTCCATCCCTAAGGACATTGTGGGTCAACCCACAGCACATGGACTGCAGCGATTCAAGAAGGCAGCTCACACCCCCACCTTTTCAAGGGGCAACTAGTGATGGGCAATAAATGCTGGGCCTAGCCAGTGACACCCACATCCCACAAATGAATTAGTAAAAAACACGGTACCTTGTTCACTTCTGAGGGCAGTAAAGAGTCACCCACATTACCATGTGTGTTTGAAGTCACATATAGGCCTGACCGGGTCAGGTCTGCAGCTTGCTTCCCTCTGAAGGGCAGTACTGACTCAGAAGGGTTTTTAAACAACAATACCACTGCTTTACTGAGACAGCACGGACTGGGGTTTAGGGGTCAACGTATTTCCCAGTCACACAACACCAGGTTTTAGTCCAACAGACATCATAATTCCCAGCATATTGTCTTGGCTCTTAACCTGGGGTCTGTCCAATTTTCACCTCAAGAGGCTTTAAATTTCAAAAGGACAAAATAGATATTGCATTTTGGAATTTCTAGTTAAAGATTTGAGGGCAGGCTGGGCTGAGAAATTGTGTTAATTTGATAGATTAAAACATTACGAATCAGTGCTTAACAAAAATGATTGTATTTTCTGGCATTGGTTTGTAAACAGTTAGCAGTAGGGACTGAGTTCCAGGCAATTTAAAATTGATCAAATTTCTTCATTACAGCAGAGATCACACATTACACTATTTCACTGTCTTTGACAAGCTTTGGGATGGCTTGAGACTCTGACAGGCACCATGGAAATGCAGGTCCTTTCTTTCACTTCTTGCTGAGTAAACTTCTGGATCAACCTTTCAGCAAATCATTTCCCAGAGTTTGCCCTTTACTTACAGGAGGCCCAGGAGGCCCGACCAAACCCGTGTCTCCTTTCTGCCCAGCAGGACCCTGAAAACAAGGACAAACACTTAGCAACACAAGGCACTGTGTAGAAAATACACACAATTAAACACAGGCAGCCTCACAGTCTTAGAAGGACCCTGTGGACTATTAACAATGTCAGAGAGACACAGGAATGGAGGTCCCAGCCCCCATTATGTACTGGTTGGGGGAAATCGGGGAGCTCGGATGGGGAGAGAACTCTATCTCAGCATGGCTGAATGAATGGAGCAGTCAATTTAAACAGTTCCTATTTAGAATGTTGCATGAGATTTAACCTTCATCGTGGGATTCCCCAACTACTGGAGATAAATACTCTTGTAATGTGAATAAGGTCTGTTTATGCATCATTATCTAAAGTATTTTTTAAATGCCCTGCTCTTGAAATCCTCAAAAAACACAGAAGAGACAGACTGAATTAATCAAACAGCTTCTGCTGGACTGCTTTAATTGACAGGCCACCTGGTATTGGTTAGGAAAGGACAATACCATCTGTAGCTTCAATCAAGTTCCTTGTTGACATTGCCCTGAGGGATATTGGATCATTATGAATGTTTGATTATGTTTCAAAGGCTGCAATTATCTGAACAGAAAATTCTGAGTTCACATCTTGATTGACAATTTAAAGAGGCTATTAAAAGATTAGCTGTCTTTGCTGTGGGGCCTAAATGGACTGTTGTTTGTTATTATAACAGATCAACCAGCAGATCAGATCAGATCTAGGAACTATTGAGTGTATACCAGTAAGAACTGTATTAGATTGTTCAGAGTATGGTTTGTTCAACTGCTCACATCTCTACTGTGTCCCTGAGGGACAGGAGATCAATAGTTATGGAAGTGCTCATAGGTGGACATGAAAACGTCTTGGAGAATTGGTGGGGATGAAGGCGAGATGGCTTTAACTAGGACTAAGATCCAGAGATCCCCAGCGAGGTTATGAGTAGCCAGCTGGACACTCTCTTGCCCCAGGGATACACAACAATTACTCACAGGCTCTCACCCCTATCCCGTCTCTGCCTTTCCAAGGCAAACATTCCTCCATTGGATAGTAACACCTGAGGCAGATTTTCAGAGCTGAACTAACTACGTCAGTTGGAAGCATGACTTTGAAGAGAAAAGTGAGGAACAAACTGGGTCATTACTTACTGTTGAACCTTTTGATCCTTTTGGACCAAGTGGACCCTGTGATCAAACAAAGAATTCAGAAACTTCACCACTGATGGTTCACAAACTCAGAGCAACAATTTAATTCATGTTCAAGAACAAATTACACAACACATAACACTCAGCAATTTGTCCCAATCTGCAGAGAAGGTTCCAGAAGCAATGAAAAAAAAACACCCTGATTCCCAATGTTAGAATTACTTTGAATTCTCCATCAGGAAAAAAGGCTATTTGGCCCATCTGACCTATGCTAGGCTTTCTATCCCTCTCGCAGCCCCATGTCATCTCACACTGTCAGCACACCCTTCAGTTCCTAATCCCCCCCCCACCGTGTGTTTATCCAGCTTCCCCCTCAGTATTCCCTTCCCTCCTCTACCTGTGGGAATGAGTCCCACAATTCCCCCCACCCCCAACTCCTTGTGGGAATGAGTCCCACATTACACCCGCTCCCCCCCACTGTCCCCAGCACCGTGGGAGTGACTCCCACATTCCCCCAGGGACTGGGAAGGAAGAGGTTTTCTCCGGAATCCCCGCTGGGATTTATTAGAGACTGTCTGATATTGATGGCCCTGAGTTTTGGCCTCCCCCACACCATGGGGGCTGGGGGAAGGGGGTGGGGTGTGGTGGCTCAATGGCTCCAGGTCATTAGAACCTCTCCTTCAAACCAAACTCTTTGCTGTTTTCTCCTGCGGGTTTGGAATATCCAACGTCACATTTCTCTCTTGGAGACCATGAGTCTCACCCAGCCTCAGGGACGGCTCTTCAATCCTCAACACTGTCACTCAGTGGCTGTGTCTCTGCACAATGGTTTCAATTTACTCTGTTTTTCACTTACAGGTAAACCGGGGGGTCCAGGGGGGCCAAGAGGTCCAGACGATCCAGTAATGCCCTGTGGAGAGATCAGCACAAACACTCAGCAACAGAACTGAGCTTCACTTCAAAACCAAAACTGAAAGGTTTCATTCGAAACTTCTCCACATTAATTCTTCTTTCTAAACCCCCTGGCCCTCACCCTCCCAATGCCACACTGTCATAGGGTCAGTACTGAGGGAGTGCTGCACTGTCGGAGGGTCAGTACTGAGGGAGTGCTGCACTGTCAGAGGGTCAGTACTGAGGGAGTGCCGCACTGTCGGTGGGTCAGTGCTGAGGTAGTGCCGCACTGTCGGTGGGTCAGTGCTGAGGGAGTGCCGCACTGTCGGAGGGTCAGTGCTGAGGGAGTGCCGCACTGTCAGAGGGTCAGTACTGAGGGATTGCCACACTGTCGGTGGGTCAGTGCTGAGGTAGTGCTGCACTGTCGGTGGGTCAGTGCTGAGGTAGTGCTGCACTGTCGGTGGGTCAGTGCTGAGGGAGTGCCGCACTGTCGGAGGGTCAGTACTGAGGGAGTGCCGGACTGTCAGAGGGTCAGCACCGAGGGAGTGCCGGACTGTCAGAGGGTCAGCACCGAGGGAATCGTATTCTTGATGTCCCTGCTTCTGACTGAATCTTAGTTCAGTTACTCCAACTGGAATTTCTTTTGAATGACCTTGCAGTGCTCTCATTGGACGAACACGTTCACGCTACTAATTGTGGGATCTTGCTCTGCAGATGTTACCTGCAGTGAATACATTATCGCACTGATCACAATTCAGCAGCGTTTCTGTGTAGTGTTTAGACACATGCTGGAAGAGTGAACTGGTGTTATTAAAGAAGGCAGGAGTTTCTTTCTGAAAGCACCATCAGGATTGTGTTTGTGTGGGAGAGATTACGACCTCTCTTTGAAAGTACAGCTGCTTGGGATTCGCTTACAATGTCGCCTTTCACTCCAGGAGCTCCCTGCAGTCCCGGAAGTCCTCTGTCTCCCTTTTCACCCTGTTCTCCTGGGGGTCCAATCAATCCAATCAGTCCTGGGTGACCCTGCAAACAAGGAGAAGTCATTTTAACATCAGCAACTGTTTAAACAGGAACCCCACTGGTAACACAGCAGCAGTTTTCAGCTAAAACTGATCCTGTTTTAGTATCAACTCAAACTCAAGATTTCAGAGTCACAGGTGACAGCTACAGATTAGCAGCTTCGAACTCACTCACCTTCTCACCTTTACTACCTGGAACCCCCTTCAATCCAGGCAAACCAGGTGGACCCTATAGTCAGAAGGAGAAACATCAGATTACAATCAGAAACAGAATCAATCACATCATAAACCACTCTGAGTAAATGGAGCTTTACTCTGCATCTAACCCCGTGCTGTCCCTACCCTGGGAGTGTTTGATAGGGGACAGAGTAAAGGGAGTTTTACTCTGTATCTAATGCCGTGCACCCCTGTCCTGGGATTGTCTTGCTATGATTGTTTAAATCTGAAACTTTCCATTATACAAATATTCAGAGAATGAGCATCCAACTCCTCCTAATTTTGAGTTAAAAGTGAAGCAGAGTGAGCTGGAGTTTGCATGAACCCAGGCTTGTGGAGGTAGCATCCCTCTCACTCTGGCCCCTTGAACCAGATTCCCATTGCTCCAGGAACGGAGGCTTTACCTTCAGCAGCCTACGCCAATGCCTGGAATTGCCTCCCTACCCACGTCACTCCCCCTATAAGATGTTCCTTAAAGTCCCGTCTTTGACCAGGCCTCTGGTCACATGTCCTGACATTTCATTCCAAGTTCTGTGGTAGGTATCAGTCTGGCTTTGTGATGCACTTGGGATATTACTTTACAAATTGTTATTGTTGTTTTATGTGGAATCTGCTGATTCAGTGAGTCATGTCATTCTGTATCCTCTCTCTAAGTGCTTTACACAACAACACCAACAACACACACCATTCACTTACAATTGGTCCTGGGGGTCCATCTTGACCAGGTGGTCCAGGGAGACCTTGTTCACCCTGCAAAGCAGATAAATGGTCAGTTTTTGTCAAATTATTCCCTGCCATTTATATAGATTATCAGAAGCCAATTAAACAGTGAGATCACTGTGATTTCCAGGTGTACTTACAACAGGCCCGGGAATTCCTCGCAACCCCTCGGGGCCTGATTTTCCTGGAGGTCCCTGAGGGCCGACTGGGCCAGTTTTTCCGGGAGGCCCCTCTGCTCCTGGTTCACCCTGAGGCCCAACAAAAACAGTCAATATTCAGCAATGCAGCCCACTTTATTGTCAATGCATCACACTGTCCAGAGGTTTCTAAAGTCTAATTGATTTCAGGGCAATGTATTTTTATTTCCCTCACAACTTGCCTTGTGCCTTGTAGATGGTGGACAGGTTTTGGGGAGCCAGGAGGCGAGTTATTCGCTGCAGGATTCCTAGCCTCTGACCTGCTGTTGTAGCCACTGTGTTCATGTGGCAAGTCCAGTTGAGTTTCTGGTCATTGGCATATTACTGTTACTCTTGAGTTGACATCATGTTACGTTACTGAACACTTGGGTTTCCAGTTATGACAACTTTGGTCAATAGGCCAAGGAGAGCGATGATCTGAATATTTTTCAATGGTTAGACTGTCCCTTTGGAGAGCCAGGGCAATGCTCACGAACAATGTCCTGTTACGTCAGATCAATTCTGTCATCTCCATCGTGTTGGCTCCATTGTAACAAGAAAAGGGTTTAACATTGACCCTCTTGAAACATGAGAAATTTCAAAATCTAAATGTTCAAAATCACAGAGAATTTGACAAGAACTCATTGAGAGAGATGGATCATTCTGATTGGGAGGTTATGTGATGAGGACCCCCCTCCTCCCTCAAACCCTGAGCGGTCAGCTTTGGGAACCACTGATCCAAAGTGTCCTCTTCCTCCTGAACTTGGTGTAATCTCCACACTTCACATCTTCAGTCAGTTTTTGCAGCACACAAACAGGCCACTCAGCCCATCTGCTCCATGTGGGATTTCTGCTGCCCCCAGCCTCATCACCTTACCCTGTCAGCAAACCTTTCAATTCCATTGCCCCTAGTATGTTTATCCAGCTTCCCCCTCATTGTATCCACAGTATTCCAATCGCCCCCTCCCTGTGGGAGTGAATCCCACATACCCCCCCGCCCCCCCCTGCCACCGCCCAGCTCCCCACTGCCCCCCCTCCCCTGTGGGAGTGAGTCCCACATTCCCCACTCCCTGTGGGAGTGAATCCCACATTCCACCCCGCCCCCTCCCTGTGGGAGCGAGTCCCACATTCCCCACTCCCTGTGGGAGTGACTCCCACATTCGCCCCCCTCCCTGTGGGAGTGACTCCCACATTTCCCCTTCTCCCTGGAGAAGTGGTTTCTCCTGAATTCCCATCGGGATTTATTTGGGATTCTTTGATATTGATGGCTCTGCGGGGGGTTGGGAATGTCTTCTCTCCCTCTGCCCAGTGAACCCTCTCGTTATTTTGAAGGGCTCTTGCAGATCTCAGTCAGTTTACGCCTTCTAATGATTTTCGGAAGCTGACTAGGAGAAGCGTAAATTTGTAGCTCCAGGTGACGGACTGGGGGAGTGGGATCATCAGATTGCTCTGTGAGGAACTGACATGACTTTGATAGGCTGAGTGGTCTCTTGCTATTTGTAAATGACCCTGCCCCAGCCTGTTGAACCACCCTGGTAATATTCTGTCTCCTTACCATTTCTCTGAATATGCAGCAAATATGGATGATGCCTGTGCATTGCAAGGGGTTCTGTTTGAGACCAGAGTGTGTGTAATGTCCCCCATAACCGGCTCAGTGAAGTGTGTCCAGTTAGTTGGAGATAAAGTCCCATTCAGCATCTTCTCCTTCAACCCATTGATCAGTTCAGAGTGAGATCAGTATGGATGGAGGGAGGGTGTGACTGTCTCAGTATCCAGAAGGATTATAGCATGAAGCAGTCACTGTTTATTCATTGACTGATTAAACAAGCCACCCTCAGCAAATGATACCAGACTGCAGCTTAACGACCAATCAGCAGTGACTTTCAGTGGTGAGCACAGGTCAGCAGTAAACCTTCTACATTGGCCAGGGGCTCAATGTGACCTCTCAATGTCAGAAATCTTCACGTGTACTACCACTGGGACGACTCATCATTCACCGCGAATCATTCATCGCGTAACTTTAAACTGTCATCAAACCTGGAACAAAACCAGATACATCCTCGACCAACTGTCACCGGGGAATAACCA